AATTGCATCTGATTGTATCCTATTTCACCACTAACTTTTTAATTTTCTCCGTCAATTTATTTTTTGTGCTGTCTCTTACTTTTATGTGGGGTGACTGTTTGTGATTGTGTATTCTACACTGGAACTGTTTGCTTTCTCTTGTATGACAAAAGGCAGAAAACATATTTATAGATAATTATTTATAGAGCAGCTTGTCCTATATTTTTATTATCTTATTGCAGAAGATCTTTAATTTATGACTATCTCCCCTCTATTTATTTAGAATGATTATTCTTAAGCATATAATTCTATGGGTTTTGCTTTAACCCATTAAGTGGGAATTGAGAAGCAGGCGAGACATATTGTCAAGTAGGTATTTTTTATTTAATTCGAAAAATTTGGGGTAATAACTTCTTGTTGCGTTGTCTTCGTCGTGTTTAGTAATTTGTATACATGTTATGTTTTTCGTTCCAGCAAAAACTTCGGGAACTACTGTAACATTTGTGATAATAGAAGGATGGGTTGTAACAGTTGCATCCGTTGGTGATTCCCGTTGTATACTTGGATCGGCAGAAGGTGACATATATTACTTGTCAGCTGATCATAGGCTTGAATGCAATGTAGAGGAGTAAGTTATTAACATCTTGTTTATTGTATTTTAAGAGTTTCCCTAAATATTGGTATCTTACTTTTTGCTTTCATCTTTTTAGGAGGGAGCGAATTACAGCAAGTGGTGGTGAGGTTGGGCGGTTAAATACAGGTGGTGGTGTACAGGTATATCCTCTCCCATTACAATTATGCGTCTTGTTTTTTATTGCTTTGACAAAAACTCTCTAGATTCGTAGCCATTTCTTTCCATTAGTGAAACTGTGAAATTTGATGCTCTCGAGATATATTCAGGTGAACGGATGTGCTAACACAATACTTGGAATAGAAGCTAGTTATAGTTTACACGACTCTATAGAAAAAGTGTTCCAAGAAGAACTTATAAGATAACTGATGTGAAACAGAGAGGACTCCTCTGTAAAACTAACTAACAATAGCTGTAGCATTTGTAATTGGAAGCATCTTTTTCTGTATCCATCTTGTTTCAGTTCAGATATAAAAACATGGTATTGATATGCTGAGATAAATTAGTTCTTTATAGAGAATTTCTGTATCTGCAGTGAAGGATAGAACCATATTTGATTAATTGTACGTATCAAAGTGGGTGACTGGTAACACTATTTTGTAGATTGGTCCTTTGAGATGTTGGCCTGGAGGCTTGTGTCTTTCACGTTCTATTGGCGACATGGATGTCGGGGAGTACATTGTTCCTGTTCCATATGTAAAGCAAGTAAAGGTTCGTCTTTCATATTCTAACTGCATTCTGTTTGATGTCTGTTGTTAACTTGTATTCGTATCTTTATTTAAATTCTGTGCTTAACAAGTGTTTTCTGTAAAACTTGGGACTGATATCTTTTCTGAATTCATGATAGCTGAAGGATATTGTTTGTTAGACCATTAATTTCGTATCCACATGTGTCCTATACTCGCACATTGCTATTTTTCAAAGAAATATAAACTTCCTTGAACTTGGGACCAATATCTTTTCTGAATTCATGCTTGCTGAATGACATAGTTGCGCCATTAAATTCCTATCTTCACGTGTCTTATACTTGCACATCAAATTGCTTTAGCCTTGGGTTTTTCCTTTTTTAATTTTTATCCTAACCAGTCCTTTGGAAAGGTGCTTGTTGTTTGACCAAGCAAGCTCCACCCCTCCCCCTGAAATTAGAAAACCTTTTCTTTAATTGTTATTCTTATTAATAGTTTATTTGACCTACTGGTTTATTTTCTTCAGTTGTCTACGGCTGGTGGTAGGCTAATTATCTCTAGTGATGGTGTTTGGGATGTGTTATCGGCTGAAGTAGCTCTTGAATGTTGTCGTGGAATGCCACCAGATGCTGCAGCTGCACAGATTGTGAAAGTATACTCCCAAATTACTTTTGTTCTAACACTTGACTTGTCCAAGGGCTATGCTTCACATGCACCTTGGTAAACCTGACCTGATTTAGACTGGGCACTTGACAAGTATTTTTTAATAAATATTTTTATTTAACTTTTATTGCAAATATATTTTAAAAATAAATTATTAAAATCTTAGAGGTCTGACAGGTTGGGTGCGACTCGTGCAAGGATTTTGTCCATTCGAGTCAAGCCCATGGACACATCTAATCTATACTATGCTCTTCAAATGTTGCTACTAGGAGGACAATACCCTTCTGGTTTTGCAATATGTTAGTATCAGTCTTGTTTCTATATGATTTCTGACTCCTTGGTCTCCACTGAGCAGGAAGCTGTACAGGCAAAGGGTCTTCGAGATGATACAACCTGCATTGTTGTTGATATCTTACCGCTAGAGAAGCCACCTCCTCCTTTGCCACCCCCAAAGAAGGCAGTAAAAGGTAAGTTGAAGGCCATGTTTCGCAAGAAGCCTTCTGAATCATCTTCTCATTCTGATAAAGAATACATGGAGCCAGACGCTGTGGAGGAACTATTTGAGGAGGGATCTGCTATGCTTTCAGAAAGGTTTGTGCATATGATAATTCTCTACTTGTTGATATGAAATTTGTTCTTCGTGTGTCTGATCAATCATCATGACTATAAACTTCTTTCTTTTCTACCCATTGTGGTGAATATAGGTTGCTATGAATGAGTGTATTAATTATTAAGTACACTGTAGTATTATCTTATTTGGAGCCCTTCTGTTGGATGCAGGTTTGATACAAAATATCCAGTGTGCAACATGTTTAAGCTGTTCATTTGCGCTGTCTGTCAATTAGAGATGAAACCTGGAGAGGGTGTTTCAATTCATGCTGGCAGATCTAATTCAGTAAAGTTACGTCCCTGGGATGGTCCTTTCCTTTGCACTAGTTGCCAGGAGAAGAAAGAAGCCATGGAAGGGAAAAGACCATCAGGAAGTAAGGCTGAAACTCTCATATTCCTCTCGTTGTTCCTTGCAAATTTATGTAACTAAAAGATCCTTGAAGTTTTTTTTTTTTAATTCTTTCTTGCTTTCCCTGTTTTCAGATAGACATGATAGTGACAGTGATTAGCTAGAGCTCCCAACTATTGCCAGCTTTTTATGGGACTAACAATTGTTTTGGAGGTGGGCGTAAATGGGAAGATATTATAATCACATACTATAGTTTCCCTTCAATTTCTTATTGGGGGTCATGGAGCTTTCTGGTCCACTTGCAACTGAGGATTCATTTAGATCTATACTCCAGTTCAGATCAGAGTTCAAATATGTGTATAGATTTCTGTTTTTTATGCTGAAGTTTTCATAGCTCCGGCAGCGCGTAGTGGCATGTCTCAGAGGTAATTCTTTTTTTTCATGTGTTCATCCCATTGTATAACAGTCGCTCCAATTCATAAAACTAACACTAAATGATAATGTACTTGAAAGTGTAATGCTTATAATATATAGGGAATTTGTTGAGTACTCGAAACACTTTTGTCAGAAGCAATTATATTATTTCTTAATCAATTCAATGCATTATTTATTAATTTGAATATATTATTTTTCACTGTTTTAAGAACTTTATTTTAATTAGCTGTGGTTGATTAAACGTTTAGCTAGAAGTACACGCATGCTTAATTTATTTGTATATCGGCTTGATATTTTATGACAAGGATGGTACAACTTGTAGCTGGAACTTGCTGTGTGTGAGGATAGATATGTTGAACACCGGAATGAGATTGCGTGTTCGTGTGTTACAGTTGGAGCCAGCTTTGCTGTAGGGACGAGTAGAAAAACGCTTTGCTGTGGAGGGTGTTTGCCTCTAATCAACATACATGTGAAACTCGCTTTCAAGTTCTCGAATAGGGCAAGTGGCCAATTTCTCTAGCACTAGGGTTTAGGAGATTTTTTTTAAAGTTATTATATGTAGAGAGAAGGTAGAGAGTGGGGGATTGATGGTTTTCTTGTCCTCGGTCAACTAAGGTAGAGAGTGGGTGAAGGCAAAAGCAGAAAAAGAACCGACCCAAGGAATAATGATAAAAGATCTTAATTATATGGGTTTTGTTCTCCCCCTTCAATCTTATCTTTGGATAGTGAGAATGAGATTATTTCGAGTGGCGAAGATGAGCCTGTCAGGCATCCAAAATAATGCCTCCATGATTGAGATGTTGACCTCTTAAGCAAATGAACAAAAATTCCCCCATGGGCTGCTGGTTTTGGAAGGAACCATCTTTGTACACATGCGTGTGGGTCTACAACCATCTCACCTAACTGTGTTAGTCTCTGCTTAATCGGACGATACAAACTTGCTGTGACGAGATCATGTGCAGGTGGCTCTTCTTCTTAAATTGACCGATGAATACAAAACTTTGCCCTAAACCTCTGCTTGCAATTTGCTTGTCACAGCTTGTTAGTTCATGATCTACCATTAATGGCTCGGTGGACATCTCCGCCTCAACAATTAAAACCATTCGCATTTGTACGGATTTATTCTTAAAAGTTAAAACAATGGAATTCAATTTTCAACTGCAAGATTTGGGTTAACCCAAAGTAATAATGGTAAAAAAAATCCAAATCAGCTTTATAAATTTTGAAAGCGGCATGTCAAATCGGGTCCATTCGAAGAGAACTTTTGGTATAAATGCAAATGAATCTGATTAAGAACAAGAGAAAAGAAGAAGGTGCCTACTGAAGTTGAACCAGTATTGAACTCCAGGGGCAAGAAATGAGGCCTCAGCTAATACCTCTCAATGATATCATTTCCACGTCAAGATGACAGGTGAGCATTGTTGAAAACTCGTTTTACACACAGACAATATATACCTAACCCTACTATTTTTCTCCTCATGTTTAACTTGCGTGCAAAAAGAGAGGATAGGTTATTCCCAGTAAAAGATAAAAGGATAACAGTGTTTTTGTTATTATATTCCAATCCCAGCTTTCTAAGATTCCTCTTGAAATGAACGCACATCTTTCTGTGTGTACACTGTGTAGTGTATCTCAACATGATTAACTTTTTTTTGCCCTCCTCCGTCGTATTCACGGAACAACTCACATATGGAGAATAAAACTTTTTGCTTTGCCATTCCATCAGCCTGTTGTGGGCAAATTTGGATGTTTGTGATCTAAATTTCTTTGTATCAGTTGTTGGATTTGACAAGGACCCACCAACCCTTTTCTATGCTTAATATGCTAAATATTTCAATCTCACCTCATCTTCAACACCCTTCTTTCTATCTATTGAATAATGCATAAAAGTAACCAAAATATGTCCCATTTACAAACACACTCTCTCTCTCCTCATTGCCTCCTAATCTCCTTATTCCACACCCTCTCTCCCACTCTCATCAGGGAAAACAATTCATTTTATTTCAGATACTGAATCAGATATTGTGGAGTTTGCTTAATTAGAATCATGAATGGTTATCAGCAGCAAAAAACTAGGGAGGAAGTTGCAGAAATAAAGCAAGAAGAAGGGTCAGCAGATAAGCAATGCCCAGCTTCACCTCCTTCAGCATCTTCATCCCCTTCTCATGAATTCTCCTTCACAGTCGTCTCTCTCCATTCTTCCTCCAACGCTGTCCCTGGTAAAACCAAAACCCCACCTTCAATGGCTATCGATTTGTCACCAGCAGATGACATTTTCTTTCATGGTCATTTGCTCCCTCTCCACCTCCTTTCTCAGCTCCCCGTGTCTCCACGTTTCTCTACGAATTCATTGGATGGATGCAACGTTCCCGTGAGAGAGTTATTGGATGATCCGAAACCTGATAAACTCAGCAGCACCAATTGTAGAAGCAAAAGTGACAGCAATATCAGAAGCAGCAACAAGAACCATGGGAATGGAAAAGTTGGTAACTTTAATCAAAGCCACGACGTTGAAGCCAAAGGAAGGCCGAAGTCCAAGTCTTTCTCCTTACCCCGTTTAACAAGGTGGCACCACCACAAAGGGCGTGGCGTTAGAGAAACAGAAGAAAAAGAGAAGCACAAGACAAAGATGAGATTCGACTTGAGACATGTTTTGAAGAGGTACGTGAGGCTGGTTCGGCCGTTGTTATTCTTCAGAGGAAGGAGAGAGAACCGCCATCTCCATAGGCAATCTCACTCATTTTCAGGCAATTTAAGTTCGAGAAACAAAGACAAGGAGTTGAGAGCAAGGAGAGGAGATTACTGTTCAGCGCCGGCTTCGATGAGGACATCGCCCACGAACAGTGGTCTTCTTGTTGCAACCACGGGCTACTCTTCTTCATCCAGTGGCAGCACCATGGAAGAGTTACAGGCTGCAATTCAAGCTGCCATTGCTCATTGCAAGAATTCCATTAAAGGGGAAGACAAATTTAACTGCTAGGCTAGTTTCAGTTTTGTTCTTTTCATATTTATTAACCTCTATAGATTATTTTTCCTTTTCTTTTTTACTGCGTATATATAGTTCATATTTTCCTGTGTATAAAATGGCACATATTATAAAGGAGTACGCAATTAGTTTGAAGATAAAAGGGATGATTGCTTTGATAAATTTCAACATCTTAAACTGAAAACTGATACTTTCATTTCCTTACGTTATTAGTTGGTTGCATTAAATTAATAGTTAAATTTATTAAATTTCAGAATGTCAAATATGAGAAGGCATTTATGATGTATTTTGAATATTCTTAATATTGTTTAGTAGAGCATTTAATATTTCATACTCCCTGGCCCTTGATGAAGTCTAACAGTGTGATTATTGGTATCCTCTGCTTGTTCCTACTGAAATACTAAATCATGGTTGACCTCTGCATTTTCAGTAAAAAGAGCAACCCATCATCATCATCAAGCCCGCCCTTTTTTTCTCAACTGTTCATTTTTTTTGAAATTTTTCTTATTTAGAATTTTCCCACGAATCAAACACTAAATTTCCCATCATCACGACAAAGCTACATAATCTATAAAGGCAGAAGATCTTCCAGCCTCTAGATACTACTTTTTGAAGTCTGCGTGCATGAGTTTATGTACACATGCATTCATTGCTAAAACAAGTTAAAACTAATATTTTATTGGCTGAGATTTTAGGGTATGGGATGATTATTTCTGAAATCATGGAATTGACCATCTGGGAATTCCCTTTTCTCAAACAGCATGACATTAAAGAAGCTCCACAAAAAGGTGATGCCTGCAGGGCTCAAGAAAAAAAAAACCCCCATGATTTGAATTTTAAGGCACATCCAGCATGTGAAAATAATATGCATTTTTCTGTTCTGCAGGGCACAAACAATGAAAACAAATAAGAGCAAAGGAGCTCCTCTTTGAGTGGTATACTTTTCCCATCAATTATAAGTGAAGGGAAAGAGACACAGAGAGATTGTTGTGGTCATACACTCACATGATGTGTCCGCTTCATTGGACCAACAGGAAAATTCCATACCTTAGAAGATATTGTAAAAGAAAATGTTAAGAGAAGATTTCATGGAAGATTTTTCATTTCACTAACAAATCATTATTCTTGGTCGTTTCCCTCTTTTATTCTTGTACTAAAATATTTCTAAAGATCAAAAACAAGTTTTGTCATTGTGTTTGTGTTTTCTTAAAAAAAACTTCAACTTTTTAACATATAGCAGTTGGAACAAAGTTCCAAAAACAATCTGGTATCCTCTTCATGTCCCGAAGCATAGCATAATGTAACATCACAAACTGCGGGTTAATGACTAAATTGTAAAAATTCAGAATTTGTTGATTAAAGTGGAAAAGTTGAAAAGTTTAATGATTTATTTGAAAGTATTTCATGAAGGGTTGTTAGTAATTATTGAAAGAATCAAAGGGCAAATAGGTCATTGGACAACAAGAAAAATAATTAAATAAAATTTAGTGGGTATTATAATACCCATGTGATGCATGTGTGAAGAGATAAGTCTCCAAACTTATCTTCTTCATCTTCTTCTTATCTCCAACGTGCCAAGCTAGAGCAAAGGTGAGTTTTATATGTTGTTGATTATTTGTTAATTTTAAGAGTATGTTTTGATCATTAGATGATAACTAAGCTTAAGGAAAGCTTAAGTTATCTTAAAATCAAAAGATAAAGGAGTTAGGAAATATTAAAGATTTGGAGTTCTTGAGTGAAATCTTGAAATAGAGCTTATGATAAGAATCAAAAGTTGGATTTAACTTGTCATCTATGAGAATAATAAGTTATAAGTGTTAGAATTAAGTTTGGATAACATGGAAAATTTGGTATGATTCTTAGCTTTAAGAATTTGGATGAGATATGAGAGATAATAAGGTATTCAAATGATAAAAGTTAGTTAAAATGGTTGTAGTTGAGTTTAGGGGTATACAAGAATTTTTATATGAGGAAATTTAATGAAAAGTTGTGGAATTTTCAGATGAAATAATCTATTATGGGCTGGTGCATCGATGCACTATGAGTGTGTACCAATGCACCAAGATAAATTTTGAAGGTGCATCGATGCATTAAAGGGTGCATCGATGCATGGGAATTTCGAACCTAATTTGTGTATTGATGCATCCATAGTGCATCGGTACACCCCTAAAGGAAAGCTGATTTTTGGGTTCATTAAATTAGCTCAAGTTATTAGTATCGAATTATAAGGTTTAGGCTTCTTATAATCGTCTTGAAAATTATATTTATGTAGATATTGAGCCTAAACAAGTTCCAGAACATGTGACAAGTAAGATCGATCGAGGAAAAGGCAAAGAGATATATAGGCGAGTGTATACTATAAGTATGGTACAGTGGAATAAGACTTGTGATAAGTCTAATTCCTATGTTGATTTTCAGAGTACAATAGTTATGAACATGCATACATGATAATTATTATGATACATGCATAAAGTATATACGTTCATATGATTTGATAAATGATATTTGTGAAAAGATCCAAATGCATATGTGATATGATAAATGACATGAGCTATGTGATCATAAGAGAAATGACATGAATACATGAACATATGAAATATAAGAATATTGCCCATGGTATACGATATGAGAGCTATAGGTATAGTTGGCATGCCAAGAGTTGAGGGTTCTACGTGGTCCTTTGGGACGTATATGTATCCTTTGAAACATTTACAGGGTCTTTTGAGACATATTTGATCCATTGGAATATGTATATGGTTCTTAAGGAGTGGTTCTTCAGAACAAATACAGTACATAGGTCCTTCGGGACGAAATTTCATAGCCCCTAGTGGGACCCCATACGAGCTGTGATGACAACAATAGTGCACAACCTCAATGTACTCGAATACCTTGAGTTCTAAAAAATGTACATGGGCCTATACAAGGTTATCAAAGGTAAATGCTTTATTATAGTTATAGGTTACCATATTATTATTGTTTATATTGAATTGCATATGATATGATTGCATGTTCATATTCATATGAAATGTATTATTATTATATTTATATGTCTCACTAAGTCTATGATTTAGCGTGTAAGCGATTTACACGTAGGTACTGAGAAGCAGGAAGATCGAAGCTAAGCTTAGCAGAACAACATTACTCTACTTGAAGGTCAAATCAGAAGTAGATTAAATAGTATGTCTTATTATGTGAAAATAGGTTGACATGTAAACAAAGTTGGTAAATTAAGTATTTATGCTCTGATCAAGTTTTGTAAGGTTTTAAATGTATTTATGTAAATGTATAGTAATGAACGGTTAAATTTTTACGAGTTTTATCGTTTTACGAAAGTTACTGTAGCAGTGCATCGATGCACTATAGCAATGCATCGATGCATAATTCTGCTTCGAAATTTTAGTGTTTCGATGCACTGTAGCACTGTTCATTACTGTTCACAGTACTGTTCATACCTTATTTCATTGTTCATAAGTACGTTTTTATCTCAAAATTTTATACCAAACACAATTGAATATTTTATGATTTTATTTTCTTAATATAAGTTCAAATGTTTTCGTTATTTCACAAGAATAAAGGTTTGAAATGTTAATGTGACATCTCGAACTCGTATCTGAGTCGGGTACGAGTTGGGTGTTACATTTAATGGTATCAGAGCTATGGTTTAGCCGATTCTAGGCTAAAAACAAAGTATAGAGTGTCTTTATAGGTGTACATGCCAACAAAATAGTGAAAAGCTTCTGATCTGGTATGGTAATGAGTATGTTGTTTTGCTAATAGAATGACATGTTTACTCTTATTAGATGTTTGGACATGATAGTTCTCGAAGTCAAGCGGGAGATGATCGGCCAGCTGAAAGTAGTAATTCATCTGCCTTGGCTAGGCAATGTGAAGAACATGCACCTTCTGGAGTGCCTGTAGCTGATCAAGATGTGTTCTTTAGAACGTTAGATGCAGTATTGATGCGTTTCCAACCTCCTGCTACTTCAACTCCAAGAATGAATGTTACAAAAGAGTTGAAGGGTTTAGGAGCTCCAGAATTTAAAGGTGAAGCTGAAGAAGGTCCTCTTTTGCGGACCTTTGGCTTAATGATGTAAAAATCATGTTAGACGGTCTCCACTGTTCTAATGTAGAGAAGTTAGATGGAGTGGTCTCCTTGTTTCGTGGGCAAGCAAGAATCTGGTGGACAAACGTCACTCTGAGAATGACAAGTGACCAAGTGACATGGTCCTTGTTTTTAGAAGAGTTCAAACACAAAAGTATATAGGATACCAGTTTACCAGGCAAATGAAGCAAGAATTCTTGAATCTGAAGTAATTGGACCGTACTGTATATAAATATGAATGTGAATTCAACAAGTTAAGTCATTTTGCGGCCGAGTTAATTCCGACAGAAAATGATTCGTGTGAGTGGTTTATTGAGGGTTTGCACCCAAGGTTAAAGGAGATGCTAATAGTATTGAACTTGTCCTCGTTTCAAGAGGTAGTAAATCGTGCTAAAGCTCTAGAGAGAACTCAAAATGAAAGGTTTGGGAATCAAAGAACCCAACCATCTAAAAGAACTGGGGGCTTTGTTAACTTCCTAAAAAGGCTAATTTTAAAGCCTTTTTCACTTAAGTTATTGTTTGTTTAAAAGCTCATTTTAGTCATTTTAGGATCATGTAGTTGCATATAGTTGCATTTGTGGTGGTTGTGCTATATTATTTCTTAATGGTGCTGTTTGAGGGAAAGGTGCAGTTTGTCTATAGTGTGCAGGGAATAGCAAGAAAAAGGATTCTTTGGGAAGTAATGCCGCGGCATCACACGTTGCTAAAGCAGATTGAAATGCATTGGCATTTCTGGCGCAGAAAAAGATAAAAAGATATTTCTACATAAGGACAGCTGGTACTGGACAACTGTCTCTGTACGTGAAGGACTGCTGTAACCGCCTGCCAGAGCTGCCAAAGGACCACTGCCACTTGGAGGATAAGGTTCATGCACAACATGTGATTCTAGGGGTATTTTGCACCCAACAACCTCATCATTACCCCTAAATATTTTTATTATATATG